CTCTCTCTCTCTCTCTCTCTCTCTCTCTCACACACACACACACACACACACACACTGCAAATTGTTTGTTTTTTTGTAGAATATGGATATGAAAATTTCCAAATAGGCTAAATAACAAATTGAAACAGACTAGCTAAGGCAGAAAAATTTCTCAATTATTTGTTTAAGGTTTTGTCCTGCGATTAATTCATTGATTCAAGGACAAAGTGTGTCTCCTCCCCATTTACTGAAAGCTTCCTGTGAACCTGAGATCCGGATGTTCAGCTCCATCGTCTGTCTTCACACTGAGAGGAATAAAAGCTATGGGCCAGTCTCTGCACACCTGCTCTTGGCACCTTGAAGGCCCTGGATTCCCTGTGCAGCAGATCAAAACCCAGAGTGGAGTCAAACCCATCTAATAATGAAATTGTGTCTCAGTTTTTCCCTGTCTCCTCTCTTCTCCTGCTGCTTTCCATCAGGCAGAACACTTAATCACTAATTGGTTAATCTGTTATGGAGGCAAGTATTAATATTCTAATTTTGCAGACAAGGAATCAGGCCTCCTGCTGTGCCTCCCCTGGCCCTGGGTAAGGAGCTCTTCAGATGGGAGCTTCAAAGTAGGTGAGGTTGGCCTCCTGAGACCTCACTGCTTGCCTAAAGCCGCGCACAAGGGCTTCACAGAGCCTCCTTAGATCGCTGAGTTCCTGGCTCCCAGTTCCCTGCTCAGACCACCAGGCGACACTGCCTCTAATGACAAATTTTCCCATTCCACCCCAACTAATGCTCCAAGGACTTTCTTAATTGCGACTGATACCCTGGGATCCGGAAGCTTATTTGTAACTTGATGAAAGTGCACCAGTCTTGCCTGGGTTTCTAGGTTTTGTAGCTCTAAAAACTTGACAGTAACTTTGTCCTTAGCGAACACTGCAGGATAACCCTAGCCATGCAACAAAGAGACCTCGCAGTTCCTCTGTGCAGACTCCATGGAATCCATGGTGCCCAGAGGGACTGATTTAGTAGAGAATCAGGAGATGGGCTCCCTGCACTTGAACCAATGACCGGCTCTGACAAGCAAGAGAGGGAATTTTTCTTTAAAAGCAAAATATGTGGAAGACCATAAGAGCTGTGTTGCTTTAGGTCATAAGGTGGGACATACAAAAGATTATGAATGCGTATCTATGGGGAATTCTGTTTGCAATCGAACTTTCATTGCAGACTCACGAAATATGACATCTTGTGAGCAGATTTCATTCTTTTCCAGAAGTGTAGCTTTCCATGCAAATAAAAACTCATATATTTGCTTCCAATTCAAAAGGTTAGGATCTTATGGAGAAGAAAAATGAAAAGGTTAATATTTGACCTATATTTCATACCAGAAATGGGAGAGGCTTAGAGCTGTGTTCATGTAAAACGAACTTAAATTACTGGATATCATGTGTAAAAACCACCATAAAATCTTTGAGAATAGGGTTTAGGTTCTAGGAATGAAGCTTTGTTGCTTATTTCTTGCTATATCTGATTTGTAAATAAATTAGATCCAGACACAGTTGCTTGTTTCTTCGCACATCAGAATATCTGACCAAAATGTGGCATGGATCTTACTATATCTCTAATCGGGTCTAAGTTATATCCTAAATTCAGGTTCTTTCACTTAATACAGTGTGAGTACTGTGAGATGGTAAGAATCTCATGGTGCCTAATTACTAATCATGTAGCATAATTTGGAATAAAATAATCCAGTACAATTGGATTAATTTTCTTGAGCATTGAGTCTGTATTTAAAACAAAGATAAAGAAAAAGAATTCAAGAATTGACGTTAACTTTAAGGCAAGAAGGTGACAGCTCATAGGCCATTATTTTAAAAACTTTAAGGGATTTTTCTTTCATCCAGAAAATATAATCTACCTATATGCTGATATTTGAAATTTCTTTCCAATGCATATATATAGGGAAGATTATACGTAAACTTCTTTTCACTGAGGTCTCAAAAAAAAAAAAAAACATGCCGGAATCCCTTCCAATTCAGGTTTTGTAGCTCAGAAGGCCAATAATAGACCTGGCAATGTCTGTTAGGGGTCAGGAGGGATAGGAAGGAAGGTGGGTGAATAGCCATACAGGTGCCTGCAAATGAACTGCGTAATCCTCAATTTGCTCTAGGACAGGTCTTGTTTTATGATTCCTGTCCTCTACGGGACACAATTTAATACTGGAAACAAGTATAGAAAGGCTAAAGAATAAAATCTAGCACTCTCTATAAGTGTAGAGAAGGGGCAAGGGGATAATTCAGTTCAGAACAATTTTAAAGATTTCATAGAACAAGAGGCAGATAGAGTCAAGCATGAAGAAATAAACAGGTAGCTCTAAACTGCGTATTCAAGAATGGGCTAGATCGCGTGCATCTGCTGAGATTTGGAAAAGGGAGAAAGCTGGTTTAGTATTTGCTGGAATTTCAGCTGGTCACAGGATCCTACCAACGCCCAGGTATATGTCCACCACTTACTGTTATAATAGAAAATACTGTGGAAATCAAAGGCAATAAAAGAATCAAATATGTCGATAAGCCTGTAGTCCCACCTCTGAATTCTTCCAAAAGTGAAGCTCGCATATTTTTGGCATAATGTCATTATGAGCTTGAAAAGATGTTTAGAAGTAGAATGAATCTAATTGTTTGTGATCTATAATATTTTGTGATCTTTATTGCACCTTTAAAAAAATGAGAGCTAAAAGTACTTGCAGATGTTATCTCATTAATCTGTCCCAAATCCCTGTGAGCCAGGTAGTATAAGTATTCATAACCCAGTTTTACAGATAAGGAAATAGGCAGAGTAGTGAGAAATGACTAAGCCAAGGTTATGGGGCAAATAAAAGAGAGAATCAAAGGACCCTATGGTCACTGTGTTCTTGAGACCAGGATACCTTCCCCCTGGGCTCTCTGCTGGGGCCCCGGGACTGCAGGAACTGCAGGATGATTTGTAGCAGAAAGACAATGCTGGAGTCTCTGCTTTTTGTGTTATTTCAGTGCACATGTATTTAAGCACATTTTGCAAATTTTGTAAAAAAAAAAAAAAAGATACATTCCAGCAGTTTGTTCTGCAAAAAGATTTCTAAATCAAATGTTTCAGAAGTCTAAGAAGAATCCTGTGCAGAAGTACCAATAGCAGCCAAACTCCCAAAGAATGACATTGGATACAATCTTCACCTGCTTACTATTGCTGTGTTGTGATATGTGCAGTTCTTTCTTATAGTGCACCTTGGTAGGAGTGCAAGGAGGATGAGCTGAGGGGAATCTTTCCTGGCTCATATAGGCATCTCTTAGTAAAATACCTATATGATGATTTAAGTGTTGAAATAATGTTGAACACTGGTATATTAGAAAGGACAGGTCCCCTGTCTGCAAGACTAGGATCTGAACAATTTGAAATTTCCTCAAAGTTATGTTGAAAGGGATTTTTATGAGGACACACTTCCGTTGACTTCACAACAACAACAACAACAACAAGAACAACAAAATGCTAAAGTTCAAAGGGATGGTGGTGGGAATAGAAATATCCTTCCAATGCTAGTTAACTAGTATTATGTCACTTGTTAGTAATTTGCATGCCACCGAGACCTGAGAGCCAAATGTGCTATGTATCTTCAGTTTTTTTTTTTCTCCTGTATGGTTCATTTCCACCAAATAATAATACTTCCTCAGACTTCATGATGGAACAACACTTAAAAGAATGGGCCACAGCTTTGGATTTCAATATGCTGTAAATTTAGATACTCAGAATATGTTATCATATGAAATTTCTTTGGGAACTCAAAATCAGCCCGTCTGCTGATGGACTTTCTTAGGAGGAAACTTGACTCTGAGATAATGCTCCTTTTAAAATATTTTTAAATATTTATAGACTATGTATGTTTCTATAGCTTGAAAGATTTTTCAGAGTTGGGGGGGAAGGAGGATAAGATGCCACCACTTCATTCACTTTGTGTGAGCTCATTTAAGCAAAGGAGTGTGCACTTCCCGAGGTATGCCCGTGTCCACGACACAGAACTCTTTCTTATCAACCGGTGATGTTTTCTAATGTTACCTGAGTAGAAATTATCACAGGCAGAATTCTGAATTACGTCGCTTGATTTGGTTCTTGGCAGTCTGAAGAGAGAGTTTCAAACAGAAACTTTCCCCCCATGTATTATCTTTGTGTACTTAGGCAAAAACTGAAACACATCCTCAACCCCCCTACCGCATTAGAAACATTGGTTATAATATGTTTGCAAAGCAACATTGAAATCTTTGAAATCACACTCATCTTATGCCCATACTTATCTATATATCCATGCACTACAATACACACAGCATTTACAGCAAAATATTTTCAAATACACATACCTCAACAATGGCACCACCGGGGAGCCTGAGAAAATGGCGGTACAGCTCTTGGAACCCACTGGGATAAACACTGTATATAGACACATGAGAAGTAACTTCTTCTGGACCAAGTGCAGACCCAGAGATTTCATTCTGATGTTGGAGGTCACAGCTGGAGACACTGGACTTGATGCCATGGCTTTTCCAGATGTAATCATACACTGCCACCTAGTGAGAACCAAAGCCCCCCCCCCAACAGTCCCCCAGCCCCAGAAAGAAACAGAAAAAAAAATTAATTAACTTCTGGCAAGAGCATAACCGATTTTAAATGATTTTACAATAAATCTGAAAGTCTCTGCCATCTGCAGTACTTGCACTCAATTCCATGCATATTTTTATGGCATATATCTAAATAGTGAAGATAGACAAATCCCCGGTGTGTGCTCCATAAAGTTAATTCTACACAGATGAAGCTGTAATTGGCTCCCATATTAACCCAAAGTAGGAAGATCAAGCAGGCTGTAACGATGACAGTGTTGATTAACAAAAATGCTTACGGGTGGTTTTATGAATGGGTGTTTGTGATTTCTCATCCAAAAGAACTCTTTGCTCTTTTTAACTTACTTGTACTGTGCTGGATTCTAAGTTTCTGACATCACTAAGACAGGGCACAGGATGCATTAAAGATCCATTTTACTGAGGTGCACAGCCAGGACTTTTGTATGCTGTATGTATTTACTAGTTTTGCTTTGTGATAATTCTGACTTTCGTACTTATTGGACTTTATTCTCCAGTAGGTTTTCTCAGGTAACGATTTCATTGTCTAATATGAAGTACCCTGTGGGGCCTTCATTAATGTTAATTGAATTATGAATGAGTTGAAAGACACTTTCCTATTACATGTTTAAAATATTGGGGATGGATATTAGACTATACCCCTCTAAAATTTGTTCCTGGCTGACAAACTTCTGGTCTTCAGATACTTTGGTTGTCTTTTCTGCAATTTCTGAGTTATATACAAGCTTTCTAAAATTTTCCATCACCATATTCACAGGTACCCCTAGTTTCAGAAATAGAGAAAAGTTTTGAAGGAATTCTTTCCTCGTTGGCTCTTTCTACAACAGAAAGCATTTATCTATTGTTCCAAGTCCATGTCAAATGTGTGTTTATTTCAAAGTTAACTTCTCTTAATATGACTTACAAATACTTTAAATCATTAGAAATATGGATTTAATAACATAAAAGAAAATCCTGGCTAATCACTATTAAATTCAAGTCAAGTCTGTTATTAACAATAAGCTCTGAAGATTCCAGTTAGTGACTTTTCTTTTGGAAATTCAAAGGCCTGATTAAAATCTGGATGGACAGAAAAAGAAGTTGTGAATGTCCTGAAAGAATTTGAAGAACAAAAAAGAGGGACATCTCATATGATTAAAAACAGAGAATCCTTTGACAGATATGACTTTGAGACAATATAAACAGGTCCAGAGACTAACAATCTAGCAGGAATTCCCAGTAAGACATTGACCCACATTTAACTTCAGGTCAGTTTGATAGTGTCAGATGTGCAGAAGCAAACTTGCCAAAGTGAGGCTTGAGTTGGGTCTCGAGGAAAAAAGAAAGATAAGGAATCAATGTAAGTGTCCATCAATGGATGAATGAACAAAGAAAATGGGGTACATGTATATAATCGAATACTATCTGGTCGTGTTATGGTTTGGATATGAGGTGCCCCGCCCAAAGCTCCTGTGTTATTGCAGAAACATTGAGAGGTAAGATGATAAGATTATGAGAGCTGTACACTGTGTGCATGTGGCATGTGGCTGGAGGAGGTAGATGTGTGCCTGGAAGGGTGCATCTTGGGAAGAGCCCATTTTTCTTTCTCTCTATTTCCCGGCCACCATGAGCTGAGCAGTTCCTTCCACCATGCCCCTCTGCCATGATGTTCTGCCTCACCTTGGGCCCAGAGCAGTGGAATTGGTTGACCTTGGACTGAATCTTGGAAACCATAATCTCAAAATAAACTTTTCCTCCTCTAAGTTGTTCTTATCAGATATTTTGATCACAGAAGAGAAAAAGCAGACTAACGACCCCTAAAAACGATAAAATTCTGTCATTCGCAGCAACCTCAATGAACCTAGAGGATGTTATGTTAAGTGAAATAATCCAGGCACAAAAAGACAAATACGGCATCGTCCCACTCATACTCGGGATCTACAAAGCTGATCTCATAAAAGTAGAGAGTAGTTACCAGAAGCTGTGGAGGAAATGATAGGGAGAGATTGATCAATAGGTACAAAGCCGTGGTCAGACAGGGGAACAAGTTCTAGTGATCTATTGCATTGTAGAGTAACTATGGTTAACAATATCGCCTTAAATATCTCAAAATAGCTAAAGGGAGGATCTTGAATGTTCTCACCACAAAGAAATGAACAGCAAATGAGGTGACAGACATGCTAACCACCTTAATTTGAGTATGACACATTATATGCATATATCAAATATCACACTGTACCCCGTAAATATGTCGAATTATATATAATGTGTCAAGTAAAAATGACAACATAGAAGCTTATCGGGTCCGGGTGGAAACTTAGCCGAAATAGAGGCGACAGTCCAAGTACTGAGGACATTCAATTCTACTAACTTCTTATGGGTGCTCCCAAGGTTCTGTGAAGGTTAACTAGGAAAGACATTTTAAGCCACGAAGGTCTAGTGCTAAAGCATCCGTGGTCCCTTCCAGAATTTCTAGAAGTCAGTGCTTAAGATCATCAGGACCCTCGGAACACCTAGCGGTAAGGCGTGCCCACGAGTTAAGGTTCCACTGCTGTTTGAGAACATGCTTCTGGAAAGGAAGAGAGAGCCACTGGAGGAGGGGGCGGGTGAATAACTCACGAAAGCTCCGTAGAAGTGGTTGAAGGAGCTGAGCCAGATGTTCACACAGGGAGAACCTCTTCAGTTACCTGCTGTTCTCAGGGCTTTCACTCTGGCCATGAAAACACCCTACCCTACGGGTAATTTGCTTCCCATTCTGACTTACCACCAAACACAGCCTCAAGCCATTGGGGATGCTTAGCTTTAAAACCTTCTTCAAAGCCTCCCTGGGGTTAAGAAAGTAGGACAAGGTAAAAAGGAAAAGGAAAAAGAAGGAGAAGAACCTGGATGTTTTATAACAGGGACCAAATCTCCAGGGCAGCTGATGAGAGGATGGAAACGGAGGTGGGGAGGAATGAAGAAATCACTGTCCTTGTTTTCTTAGGTCATTGTGGCTTATTTCTGCGCCCTCTGTGATGTTGAGCATGATTCTCTGCAACTCTGTTCTCTCCACTTTTAAATCTGTGTCCTGAAAACTAGCCGTCGAGGAATAAGCGGCTCAGCACGCTGACCTGTGACATTTGGTCACCAAGCCAAGCATTCCCGTGTAATAGGGCCCCTTTAATATTATTTAAGGCCATGAAGACAATCCAAATAAATAGAGGACGGGAAAGATCTGTTAAGGCAAATCCCAGCCAGCCTTAGACATTCTTGCCCAGGGTAGGTGAGGTATAAAAAGAAGGATATGATTTTTCTATAAAGTGCATTTTCTGTAAATGTTTTTGTTTTCCATTCTTTAGTGAGTAATGGTTAAACTATTTGGCAAACTAAATAATAAGCCATGGAAAATTGGAGATCCCTTGGTATTTCTGCAAAGGGCTGGGTTGGAGACAGCTACTGTGTCCTACATAATCTGAAGTTAGCCCCACAAGTCTCTCTCCTGTCATCTGAAATTTCTTGCACTCAACCAATCAAATGTGTCTCTTCGTTTCTAGGAGAGCCCAGCGTGAGTTAGTAAATCTATTGAGACAACCGAATCAAGAGACTACACACATATAGGACACATCGGAAGAGCTAAAGTTGGCCTCAATCTGGAGGCACAGAAACTTAAAGAAATTCACAAAATGCCAGTCCCTTTGAACAGTAGTTCTTAAATGAAATTCATTGTTGGGCAGAAAAACAAGTTGAGGATGGTGATTCAATGGCAGACAGAACAGGCCGAAACAGGTTCAAATGCTGCATATTTCACAACAGAGCTTAATTAAAACAGGACTATGAGCCTGTTAATTGCATTATAATAGTTCAGTCTGAAATTAGGTCTGATGTGAATGTCCTTATAGTGGAGTTGTTTATGTTATTATAATTACACAGTGGTACATAGATTTATTGCATAGATACATGTTTAACAGCTCCTGGGTGGATTTCTTTTCTTTTTTTTTTTTTTCCACTTGAATTTATACTCAGTTTTCCAGTATGGCAAGATAGCAAGAGGGAACCAGGGTCAAGAAATTAGGTCAGACTGGATGATCCAGTTGGTCTCCAGTGGATTTGAGGCTAAATTTCTAAATATGTTGTGCCCTGATGATGGTGATTTTTATTTTACCATTTCTTTAGGAGTGAACCATTTTTTTTTTGTGAAAACTAGGTCTCAGTAAAACAGGTGTCTTATTTTGTTTTAAAAACAATGCCTTCCACCCTTAGTCTGTTTGCTGCTGCTATAACAGAATGCCTGAGACTAGAAAATTTATAGTGAACTGAAAGTTATTTGGCTCACAGTTGTGGAGACTGGGAAGACAAGAGCAGTGCTCCTGTATCTGGAGAGGGCCTTTGTACTGTTTCACCTGTGGCAGAAGGTAAAAGGTGCAAAAGGAGGCAAGAATAACAGAAGCAGAGCTGGGCTGAGGCTGGGTCAGTGGTAGAGCGCCTGCCTACCAAGCATGTGAAAGGACCTGGGTTCAATTTCTAGCCCCACAAGGGAAAAATAGAGGGCAAAACTCATTGCAATCTACTGCTGCAATAATGATAAGAACATTCATGCATCATGAAGGCAATGCCCTTCTGACCTAATAACCTTTTATCAGTCTCTTCAGATTAAGTCTCCAGCAAAGGGAATTTCTAGGGATCAATTCAAACCATAGCACTTCTTTGAGAATTAAATGAACGTGCAAGTGTGATTAAGGTTGTGTCTGTGTTCCACAAAATCCTGTTTTTCCAGTATAAACAAAATTTCAAGAATTCAAAAATTGAGCCCAATCAAAAATACTAACTCCTGTTGACAGAATGCAGGAGGGCTAAGAGGAGCTGTTTTTCCAAAAGGTGAAAATGAATGCTCTTCCCGGATCCAACAGAGTTTCTAATTTGGGATTCAAACACAGATCTGGCTCATTTTACATCCAACCCATGACCTTGAATGA